CATATAAAAGGGCTAAAATAATTCTGAAAATATACTTTGACAAAGGAAAAGTTAAATTTATTTTGTATTCTATATAAAATTCTGTGTGGAATAAAAATAGACATAAAATGTATTTAAATGTTACAACATTGTAGTTTACCTTTTATATAATAGTGCTATTGTTTTGTTCTTCAAGTTAGTGGGTATATTCCTTGACTTGTATAAAGGGCATACTTGATCCCACACTTATTTCTAGGGTTGAATACGAGACTCGAAGAATTTTGAATCGTTCCAAAAATCGATTAAAATCATCGAATCGAAAGTAACTATTGACTGTTTGATTTTTTACGAACCTGTTGACATAATTTTTCGTAATCATCAGAGAAAGACATTTAAGGCGATAATCCTTCACCAAATACAGTACTGAATGATATAAAGTATGGACAACTCGGATACGACAAAGGTAAAAATCAAGGTCACTCTCTGGCATCGGAATCACTACCTGATAATCCCGCTATGTCAACAGAGGTCTCTGGATAGCGGAGACCCTCCCAACCGAGGTCTCTAAAAGATTGACTTTCAAAATCTTGAGGTGGCGATGACTCACCTAGTCATCATGACTGTTGTCCAGCTGGCAAACAACCGCCTTCCAAAAGCTACTTTGCATTAAATGCGGCCACACCTACCTCATACCCCAGGTCAACCGCTCTATAAATAACAGTTTTTCTCATTTGTAAAAGGACTTTTGACTTCTAAAGAAATTCAATAATATACTTACATATTTTCATTTCTACCGACATATTTTACGCTTCATACCAACGTCTTTTCTGCTCAATAATCGTCACAGTTTCTAATCATAGTGTGATTCTACAACGTACACCGTTGTTGAATCCCGTTTAACAACAGAATCGAACCTAACCGATAAATAATTGGTATGGTTCTAGAGATTTCTCAAATGTCCATATCGAGAATCTAACCGAACTATCTCATATCGTATCGAGCTGAATAACCAGAATTAAGAACCGAATTATAATATATATGTGTGTTATCAATATATTTTATGTCAACTTTGATCATGTATAATTTGAAAACTTTGTAAATGTAATTAAAATATAGTAATAACAATTAAGTTTCATTTAATTTTCATACTTAGTAATATTTGATTTATAATTAATTTTTTTTTTTGTGTTCAAAAAATATTTATAACTTTACTTAAATTTTTCGACAATTTTCTTAGTCTCATTCTATGTTATAATTAAAATGGAATGAAAAATTAAAAAACATTTTTGACGAAAAAACTACATTATCATTTGTTTGAATTTAAAATTTTCATTATTAGTTGCACAAATTTAGTCTTAACTATAATTTAGAGTTACTTCTAAAGTTGATTTCAAAATAAAATCTTTAATATGATAAAATATTGATGACTGTTGGATTTGTTTTTTACAAAAGCATATATTAATTAATATATAATTAGACACATATTAAAAATAATAATTAGAAATCTTTATAGGTCCAAATCGAACCAAACCAAACCAGTCTGAACAGTTACGATAGTCTCGAATAGTGAACCGAATTGGACCGAAAAATGAAAATCTCCGAACTAAACCATCCTGATATTTTGGTGTGGTTCCGGAGATCGAGTTTTAGTGATATCTGAATTTCGGTACGGTTCTGGAGATTTCTCAATCTTCAAACTGTACCGAACCACGCTCGACTATACTTATATGTATATGCTGATAACTGTAAAAATGCATGTTAACTTTTTTTAGAAGAAACATCTCGGAAGGGCGGGGGGTTATGTCCTGATCCCCAATATGTAAATAGTAAATACCCTAAATAGGCAAGAAAAAATCACAGATCTACACATATCCAAACAAAAATGAAAACACAAACGAAAACAAACAACCCAAATGAAAAGTCTCAACCCCAATTGACAGATGCCTAGACGAATAATCAGCACCACAATATGGACTAGAGCACGTTAAAAAAAAACCGTCTACTAGAATTTTAATGAGGGGTAGCCAAGTTGGTCCATGCACACTAGATATAACGGCAGAGATGCGCGTCCTAAGACTGAAAAGTGCACCCCTCGGGTGTGAAGGCACCGAGTCTTTAGTTCTCGAGCTTTTTGGTCTATCGACTTCTCCTCCTGACATTTCCTTCGCCATCTTCACGTTCTTCATATTCATCCCCACAATTGTCTGATAGCACGATCTTGACTTCAACTGGTCTCCAGCGACCTCTCCTACTCTTTCGCTCACTAGATAGTTTATCGTCATGTGATACGTGGACACTACTGCCTGGAACACAATCAGACTCGTCCTCTCTATGATGATAATATACAGGGATTCCGTGTTTACCACTACGAATCTTACCAACTTCATCTTCTTAGTTACTCCACTGTCAGGGCCACTGGTAAAGTCACCTCTCCCAGAGATACAACACTCCTCTCTGAGCTCCGCTGCCCCAATTCCAGGGAGAGGAAGTTTGTGATCAAGTGAAAATCTTGCGATTCTAAAAAAGGCAAAAAAGACAAATATGGTATAATGAATTCGAGTGAGGAAGTTATCTAGCAGCAATAAGATATTAATTGTAGCTGGCTCTGGAAGATAGACGCTAAACTTCAAGGTATTTTTCCACCAAGCAGCACCCCTAACACACGCATAAATAAATTAAGATCTTCCTAACGCTTAGGTCCTAGGGCCCTATGTCGGTTTTGGGTAAAGGTAGCCTTTGAGTATAGGTTTTAGGACGAGAGGGGGTAATCTATCAAAGCCCTCGCTCCCATTGAAACCGTATAGGGATGTCACCACTTCTATAAATTCAATATCAAGCTTCAATTGCTTGAAACAATCATAGAACATCAGTTCCACCGAGCTCCCCGTGTCTATGAAGATCTTTTTATGTCATAGCCCAAATCTTCGGCGGTTATCACTGGTGCGTCGTTTTGGGGTAGGTGTACCCCTGAGAATCCTCAGCCTGAAATCTAATTACAGGTGCTCGGGTCATTATACTGACCTTCTCTCTCTTTCTCTTCACTGTCTGAGTATGCTTTTTCTGGGCGTTGTTGGTGTCACTATCACTGGGCCCCCTAGATATCATATGTGAATGAGTCCTCTCTTTGGTGGAGATCTCTCCTCCCCGAACTCCCTATCTCTTCTTTCCCGACCTCTCTGGCCTCCATACTCATAAGCCCCCGCTTCTCATCTTCTTCCGGATCGCCCTCCTCATCGTCTCTATATGTTTTTTTCGCACCTTCTTGACATCTTTTTTTCTCATTTCTCTTCTCTTTGTTTCTATAAACAAATTCCTTCAAATGCACCGCTCGGGTGAGCCTCTCTATCTCGTCTTTCAAGTGTCAACACTCCTCCATTGTGTCACCATAGTCTAGATGGTATTTGCATTATTGGCTAGACTTTGGCCTTGTGGGCCCTTCTCACCTGGATCTAGGCTATATGACGACCCTGTCGTCAAATCCTTCCGATTGCCTGTTGTTTGTTATGTTTTTGTGCTTATTTTCATGTGTTTATTTGTGTTATCGTGTCGAGTTTAGGTTCGTATTAGTGTCGACCGGTCCATTTTATCATTTTCCGTGTGTTTTTGTGTTTTTCGTTTTATTTTGTATTTTGGTGTACTTTTCCGTGCTTTGTTATGAAATCTCAGGTTATTCGGAGAATGAATGTGGAGAGTCGAGCGAAGTCTCCGAGAAGCTTCGAGTTATTTGCATGAACTATTGCAAACTGAGTATATTAAGTCCTAGTCGAGCCACAGACGCACCAAGCGCACACACGCCGCACGCCCACTGCTCCCCAGTCCACGCTCGCGTGCCTGCCACAGTCGCCGCGAGGTCGCGTGTGTCTGACCTCAGCGCACACCACCGTTCACGAGGCCGCCATCCATTCCGCGCGGTCACGAGTGCCCTACCTTTGCCCATCTGCGCCCGCGTGCTCGCGGAAAGGACCGCGATACCGAGAGTGCCCGTGTACACCCACACCTGCCTGACCGTCCGCACGCACCGTACCGCCCGCGGGCTCGCGAATCTGCCTGCGAGATCGAGAGTTTGCCAACGCCCACAACTGTGCTAACCACTGCCTGCGAGCTTGCGGATTTTGAGGAGACGTCGAGAGTGTCCCATTAAATCTGCGTGTTTTAGTGTGTGTTTTGGGTAGTAGTATAAATATTTTTGTTCCTTTGCATTTTGAACGTCATTCTCTCATTTTCACTTTTCCCACTTTGGGAAATTAGCTTATGTTTATTTTTGCTCTCTAGATTAGGAGTTTATGCTATTTTCCGGAAGATTTTCCGGCGACTTCGGTTTCTTTCAAGTTTCGAGCTTTTGACTTCGTTTTTCATCGTCTACGAAAGGCAAGATTGAGTATTTAGTTTTAAAGATCTTTACTTCGGTTTTTGCTCCGTTTTTACTTATAATGTTCATTAGGGTAAATTTGGATTTGATTGATGATGGTGGAAATGCTCGTACTTGATTGCTTGCTCGAGTAGATAGAGTAGTTAATTGCTTGTTGATCTCAGTTAGACGACTAGGGTTAGCCATCTAATGCTCGTAGCTATTTTATTCCGTATGTCGATTGATTATCATCCTGTTATGGTTATGGCATGAGACTCCAGTGATCTAGTTTGCTAATTGCTCGTCATTTGATCTTGCTTTTAATTAATTGCTCGTTCTTAAGTGCTCGATTAGTGTTAATCAACCATCCAATCAATTGCTTAGAATGTTTAGGATTTTATTTTTTCTTTTTGTGATTTGGACGATCATTTAGTAGATAAAGCTCCGAATAGCCTTCCTTCGAGATCGACCCGAGTCGGGTAACTCAATTATCCCTTGCCCACCAATTTTATACTAAACACCTGTAGGACCTCTTCCATCTAGACCCTCAATGGAGTATACTTCTCGAATTTTTTACCATTCCTGAGCGGCCGCTCACTCCACTTATCCTCCATTCTATCCACTTTTGGTCTCTCTCGTCTAGGCGAGCCCGCTCATTCTTTCTTGCCCTCCCCTACTTGGGTAGTTCATCGTGCTTCGAGAACTCGACTTCCGTTTCTTTCAAGTTTACATATTTCTGACATTGCCTCAGGACTTCGTCATACGTCATAGCCCCATTTTTAGCCAAGTACCTCGTACACGCCCCTGTCCTCAAACTCTTCACTAGACCTCCAGCGTTGATCTCGTCTGAGGCCGAAGGAATCTCAATACATGCCTTATTATATTGATCGACATAACTTCTCAAGATTTCTCCCTCCTGATATGGCCATATTACGGTAAACCGGTTTAAGTGTTGACACCTCGACTTGATATCCAGTCAGGATGTGAACATGTCGACTCGAGTAAGACGTAACGATTTGAGTCGACTGACATCTAAGTGATAACAACTCAAGGGCAACGAGTTGTAATTGTAAGGATGGCTTGCAAGAAAAACAACCTCATGACCTGACACTAGTAGAAAATAGTTTGGGCAACATGAAGAGTAGACCAAGGTCACGAACAGAAAGGGTAGCTCCTCTGATCGTCAGGAGCCTCGCGAAGTCAACTTAAAAATAATCAAAACTTCCACTAGAAATTTCAATGGAAATTCCCTACAACAATTACCCATTGGAAAAATTATTGTGATAATCATCATCTCCCAACTAAAGTTCCATATAGAAAATTAATTATGATGTAATATGTTAGTGTTGATTTAATTTTCCAGTCCAAGAATAGCTATAGAAATGGATTGTCCATTAATTCATTTTCCATTGACATTGTTCATGCAAATCCTCCACAGTACGTAGAGCCAAAATTATCAAGAGTTGTTAAATTTGTCAAAATCTAACCAAAAAAATTGGCATAAATAAATCTCCAATTGTAACTTCATGGGTTTATATACATCCATCTATGCGTCTTCTAGATTCACTGAGATGGCTATGAACAAACATTGTACAATTTGTTTCCAGAACTAAAGCAAAGACTTTATCTTATTGACACCAACACTAGTACATATCCTCTAAAAATTTGATCAGAATCACCTTTTCATTCTTATACTTAGCGCAAGACCGTTTCGCGTTTACACAACATTCTCGACAGTGACACGAAGCCTTCTCACCAACTCGTTCATCGTCAAGCTGAATTCTTTCCCCATCTAAAATGGACAAACAAGACAAAAATAGGATAACAAGACGCGCAAAATCTCATGAAAATTATCAAGTGTAGAAATTATAATACGATGGTTTACCTCTGTACAAATCGTAATATCAAGTGCGAAGCATCCGAATGTGGTGACATTGGTGCTGACAATGGCGAGGTTGAAATTCTCCAGTTGGTTCATTAAGTTTGCCAGAATCCCCTTACGCTTCTCGCAGTGGATTCTAATAAGAATTTGGGTGCCGCAAACACGGGCCTCGATTTCGGGCAATGCTTGTTCGTCCGAGCCCGGGATGTTATCCTCTGCTGAATTATCATCCTCGGGATGGGCCCGTGATTTGCGGACGAGCACCACAGATTCCATCATCTTCTTTGTGGTTTTCTCCTCGAGAATCTGCACTCTTTCTTGGAGGTGTTTTAAGTACTTGATTGCATCACCCAGTACTGATGTTTTATCCATCTGAAACACAAAAGCAAAGTCAAATCGTGCAATTTGGTGTGATTTGGTTCAAATTTTTAATGTAAAAAAATAATTCGGTTCTGTTTCAGTATAGTTTATTCATATACTGTTTCGCAGTGCAGCTATAGTTTTTTATAATTTCGGTTTTCAGTTTTGTTCGGTGCGGTGTTGTTTACCAACGAACCGCACCAAACTGAATAAGATGCATGGTTTTGAAAACCGAACCGACCGTTCCGACCGGTACTACCGGGAACTGTCAAAACCGGGCAGCAACAAGATTTGTCGGGCAACAACAAGATATCTCAGCTCAAAAAAGAAAAAAAAAAAATGTTGAGCATAATCTTTTTTGATCCGTATCTCTTCATGAGCATATAAAAACAAAAGATAGAGCTTTTTAATTTGGGAGAGCTCTTTTTCTCTCTTTTTTTTTATTAGTTGAGTCAAATTTTGCAACTAATCCCAACTCAATCATTAAATTTAGAAGATTAAACATTGACTAGATATTTCCAAATTAGGTAATAGCACTTACTAAATGAGGCGGAATAAACTGTTGGGGTAAAGTTTTGTGAGATAGAGTTCAAGAAAGATAGAATTTAGGGCACCGATCGAGACAAAAAGGCATAGGGTAATAAAAGGAAAAACCAAAAGTCTTGAACGCAAAACTAAATAGTACCATACGATATTCTTTGATTGCTTAAATAAATATTTATAATTTTATTAATATGATATAATTTTAATGTTGTATATAGAAAGTTGACTCCACGATAGAGTCAACTGTTGGCTTCAAAGTAAAACTGCTAAACTACAATGTTTAAGAAATTAAAATATATATATAATAAGAATAAGAAAAAAGTTCAGGCCCTACTACAAGTTATTATTCAAAATATCGACTAATATTTAATAATATTAAGGTTTAGATATAGATTTTTTTTTCCCGAAACTATAGAGATGTCTATATATAAACTCAAAAGAGCTGAATGTTCAAATATAATGGAGAACGCCCTAATAACCGAAGATACAAATTGGGAGACACACATAAGAGCAGTCCAGAACCTCAAATCACATAAATACGGATAACAATAAGGAGAGACTACAACTTGACCATTGCGAACTGTCTAGTTAGGTGTATAGCCTCTCAAAAGTAACACAACAAAACTGAAAAAGAAACTAAACAGATTTAATTTAAAATATATTAGTTATATTTATTATTATTTTTTATTTAATTATTTACTTACTATACCTTATAAAAATTATATAATATGTTTCACATTTTATCAAAACCTTAAAAATTACATGTTTAAATTTATTGAATATGTATAATTTATTCTATCAAGTAATTTTGATACTTGTGTATTTTAAATTATATAATATGTAATTAATGAAATTTTATATATTCTTTCATATAAATTGAAACACAATATTAAATTATGTTAATAAATTAAATACTGGTTCAGCCGTGTAACCACTGTTATCCGATTTGATGACGGGTTCAGTCTTCAGAATTCATATGTTTTTTAACACAAACATTTAAAGAATTATTTTACATTAATATTTTTCTAAGGATACTGACTTTGAAACTACACAATCACAAAACAGAAATTATAATAAGCAATTAAATTGCTATCACAAAAGCTTTTCATTAATTGTTAGAAGCAGCAGTTGATGTTATTAATTACCTTCTTGAGTCCCGGCACAATAGTGGAAAGAGTTAGAAACCTCTGGCTCAGCTGCTCACGCCTCTTTCTCTCCGCAACAATATGGTCATATGTTTGCGGTCCCTTACCAGCCCGTCCCGTACGTCTTTTGGCATTATCGGCCCGTTTAGACGGCTCGCCGGGCTGCTTCCCAGCTTCAGTTTCAATGGCAGCCTCCTCGTCTGCTGCATCTGTGGGCCCGGCAGCGGGCCCCTGATTCTTGGGAGACAGATTAGCACTAGCGGCCCCGAAGTTGAGAATGATGGGAGTAGAAGAAGGGCGGTGGTCTTGGGCCGCCGTGGCTGACGAGAAGCCCGAAAAGCCGTTGGGCTTCTGCAGCTTGCGCGGTGGAGGCTCCGAGTTATTGTTTGTGTCAGTGGGTAAAGCAGAGAGGGATGTGATTGAGTTTGTGCTGGGTATGTTGACCAGAGTTGAGGAGGTGGATGAGTTTTTTGGGTCCGGGGACAGAGAAGGTGGGCTGTCCAAGTCCGGCCCGAGCATGGCGGCCCATTCGTCGCCGAATGTGTCCGTGAAGTCGAAATCGTCTGTGAAGATGGGGTCGTCCAGGCCCTGCACGCAATTATTGATACCATATGATGATCAAAAAGTTGCATGATTAATTAATGATGAATTATGTAACACTTCTCCTGATGATTACTAATAAGTGGAGCAGTTAATCTCTAATTAATGTAGTAATTATATATCTTATTTTCCAGTCTCATATTGTCTTCAACTTGCATGTGCGTGAATGCAGAAAACAACACGTAAAATCATTAATATGCAGAAATTAATATCTAAAGGTAATTTGTTGTGTTCCAATCGTCTGTAACGTGAACTTCTCAAAACGATATATATTAAAAATAGGAGGTAGTACAATATTTTATAATCAAACCAGTTGTATGTGCACATAACAAAAAAAAAAAAAAATGAAAACGGAGTGCTAAATTTTGCTGAAAATTAATAAATAATTAAGAAGATTATTTACCATTTCAGAGAGCCATGAAATTGCTGATGAATCCTGCTGCATATCCATATTGAAGTGAATTGATTATTGAGAAAAAATTGTAGAGGTACAAGTGTTGGGTGAAGCTAATAAATAACCCAAGAGGCAAATTGTGAATGTTGTTATATAAGAGGAGGAGAGGTGCGGTGGGTCGTCTTTGATGGATATGCAATGTTGCATTATTGACGGAAATTTAAATGTGCGTGTCTTTAGTTCACTGTCAAAAGTTTGATGTCGTGATCGTATATGATTTGTACAGTAAATATCTCATTCAAGACTCGAATTTAAATAATATCAAAATCAATCATTATTACAAATTATATTAATTTTTCAATATTCATTCATTCACATAATTTTAACTAACCATCATTTCAATCATTTACTACTCCTTTTACATCAAATCAATTTTAATTATTTTAATTTAAATATTTTTTAATATATCCACTAACAACTAGGCATACTACCTTTTTTCAAACTTTATTATAGTTAAAAAAAAACAATTTTTTTTTCTAGTTGAATTCATATCACCCCTTACTAGGCCAAGATAGTATGATGTTTTGATTTTACACTAAAACTAGTCGAACCGTTAGATTTTTTTTTTTTTTTAACTTTTTTCAACTACTAGGAAAGTGCACCTGCAATGCACCTGATATATAATTTATATTTTGATATATTTTATATTATTTTTTATTTTTTATATTTTACGGTCTATTCAATTTTGTGCATTACTACTGTTCTCAATTAATCAAACAAAACAAGTACATTACTTACTTAACTTACCTAACTGTGTCAAATATATTGAAAGTTAAAATACAACAATAAAGTTGAAATGAATCTTTTACAAGAATAATTAGATGTGATAGTTTACAATTTTGTTTTCTTATCTTGTTGAAAAAAACCATTATTATTTGGCATTATTTTTACTGACGAACTAAAACAGTTATAATTCAGTTGATATATTTTATGAATGTTTTTAGATATTATTGTTTGTAGTATTTTTGGGTAGTTGCTAGCCGAGTTACCCGGATTCGAGTCGTTCTCAAAGGAAGACTATTCGGACACGGATTCAAACAACGATTGACTCACACAAGAAAATAAAATAAAAATTCTAAACACTCTACTCACAATTTGGGGTTTGATTAAGCTAAAGGTGGCAACTTTAAACTAAACGAGAGCAAGATTCAAATTTTATCGCAAGCAAGACCTCAATTTTCAAGAAAAAGGAAAATAAAGAGAAATATAACAAGGTACCCCTAGAGCCCAGATGGAAGGTAGGAACTCATAGGTTCGGGAAAATGCAATCAAACGGTCGTCACTCGTAATCAATTAATCGACCTCTCAATCAATTCTCGCTCACGCAATCGATAACAAAATCACATAATCCCTAGCCTACGAGGATGATAGCATAATCTACTCATGGGCGTGTCTATCTTAACCTTAGAATAAATCCAATAAGTAAAGACAAACAAGACTCACAAAATCATGGACCTTAAACGAAGTCTCCAAGTCTCTAATGCATCCACGAGAAGAAATAAGTCGAAAAGTTGTAATCTTGATGCGGAAATATTACAATAAAAATAGGGTCTTGGAGCCCTTAGAGAGAAAGAAAACTAGAGAGAGAGAAAAGAGCAAAAACTAAAAAGAAAAATTTAGCAAATGAGAAATTCTCAAAAAAATACAAAGCAAGATGTCTATTTATAGCTACACCACAAACACATACTAAAACACACACATTTAATAATTTATCACTCGCTAGGTAGCGAACTAGTTCGCTAGGGGAACTGAGCTTATGGTCTTGTGCAGACTCGCTAGGCAGCGAACGCGTTTGCCAGGTGGACTGGACTTTCGGATCTCGTGCACGTTAATGACTCAACAACGGCTCGGGGTTTCTTAAAAAGACTCGTGCTCTCGGAACTTCGCTCGATTCTTCTCTTTCATCCTCCAAAATGGACCTAAAAATTGCACCAATGACAAGAGAAAATACACCAAAATACAAACACCAAAGAGAAAATAAAAACACACCGAATCAACTAAAATGGATCGGTTAGACAAGAAAACAAACCTAAAACCGACTCAACTACACACATAAAAAGAAGCACTAAAATACAATAAACAACTCCCCCACACTTAACTCTTTGCTTGTCCTCAAGCAAACAAAACAACAAGTAGCTCGAAAAGAAAAATCGAAAGGTTCAAAATTAACAAGCATGCGAAATGAAACTCTCATTATCATTCAGTTATCCATAAAATCAAAATCCAATTCGAGAACACAGTCCCCACATAGCGGATCCATACAAAATAAAAACCCGTCCCGAGTTATTCTACACATGATTACTCGATTCAAACCTCCTCGTCTACATACACGTGCAAAAACTATAATAGTCTACTAAACATGAAATGATAAGCACGAGACTAATAAGCGAACTCTCCATTTTTCTTCTTTTCTATTTTTTTTTTTTATTATTATGAGCTACTTTTTTCCAAATGAGAGTCCTTAGGACAATTATTACCTAGGTTTATCATGGGGTTTGCCCTAGAGTTTCTTAGGCTGATTTTCTGTACTCATTGTCCTGGTTTATCTAGAAGACTAACCGAGCCAAGAGGAGTCTAATCCTATCAACTCACACGAACTCATTTTTGTGAGCTTCTTTTTCAAACGAGGTACTTGGACGAGATGATCTAAGTTTAACCTCGAGAGGTTTCCTTGAGTTTCTAGGCCGATTTCCCAGACTCATTATCCCAATCCACGAAGTGGCTCGAAATAAGAGAAACCTAATCCGTACTTCCTCGCGAACTCACATTTTATTTTATTTTTTTAAGGGAGAGGCACACGAGGATACATCAAGAATACAATAACATGAACATCAATAATCATCGAGACGTACCACAAAAGCATAGATAACACGTTTACAATGATAATGGAACATAAAAGAAGCATGCCTCAAGGCAATCAATCGAGAACAAACAAGGGACAAAACAATTTCGTGAATTAACATGCGGGTTCCAATGTCGAATCATCATTCAATTTTAGGACACCGTCCAATTCATCAAGTACATAAAGCATGAACGTTAATAATGTCACAAATCAACAATCTCAACTCACCACTTAGCTATCTCGACTCTCGAACAAACATTGAGAATCATGCAGGAGAGGTGACGCAAACACACGAAAAACTCAAACAAAAACCGGTCCACAACACGACAAATACGAAAAATAAAGCACCAAAAATGAAGAAAATACCGCCTAAGCATGCATACTCACGAAAATCCCTCCCCCACACTTAAAACAAAGCAATGTTCTCATTTCTTGACCAAAAAGTATAGGAGAAAAGCAAATAATCATGTAAGCTCATGCGATGACACAAAAACAAATACACTAAACGAATATACACAACGAAGGAAAATACAAAAACACGCAAAAAACAAGAAAAAGAAAAAGAAAATAGGAACAAAAAATGCATACTCTACACGGTGGTGCTCCGCCGTGTGTCTAATGGTGTTCGTCTGGTGGGAATACGAGAAATGATCCAAGGGTCCTCGAGTGCCAAATAAAACCATCTAACCGATTGAATAATAAAAGCATAATGATCTATAAACCAACAAGACACTATTACATTTGAAAACATAAGAGAATCCCATCCGTCGGCTCCGAGTAAAGGCCACATGTATGCGTCTCGGAGGGATAATAACTGGAAATCCACAAACTCGACGAAGACACACGTATGCTGAAAGCTCAAAATTCGATCCTCGAACCCTTCTTGGATAATCGTACAACCACAAACGCACCCGCACGCCCAATAATCGACAAAATCTTCACACGAACCTCAACACCGAAATACACCACGCCACTCCTCCAAATTTTCAATATAAGCTCACGAACCACGGAAACAACTCCACCACACTTAGTATATATCACCCCCAACTCAATAACATCACGCCCAATTTAAATACACATGGCACGAGTCGGTCCAAGTGCAGTACCTTGTAAAACAAGGGTCTCGACACTAAGAGTAAGAAAAATCGGGCAATGAACCTCGATAAAGCTCTAAGAGAGAGAAAAATACAAGAAAAACAGGTGTGGGAGGTAGAATCACTGCAAAATAAAGTTTCCGACGGCTCCAACAGCTCAAACAGTTCTGGGAGGTAAAAAATGTCATCTCCGGCCGAAAAATGTCGACGGCAGCTGAAAAATAGGGCCCGGGAGGTTCGCCGTAAAATTTGTCCAAAAAAGTCATCGGTAGCCGGAAAATGTAGTCGGTGGCCTAAAATTATCGTCGGCGGTCACCGGGTGCGCCGGGTTTCCGTGGTTGGCTTGATGGTGGCTAAATAATACTTCGGTGCGGCTCAAGTGGCTTGATGGTCTGGGCACATGGTCTGGTGTGTGGTTCGGTCGGGATGCAAGGTGTCGCGCGGCGGCTGGTTGATGAGGGATCGTGATTTTGCCTACCGCTTGTGGATAATCGCGCACTAGGGGCCTTCGACTAAACACGATAAGTGTGACTTCAAGATGCTTTCAGGCCTTCTCTTAGACACGGTTGTATGTTAAACACGCACTCATGGCCTTGCTTAAACACACGATTGAACACAACGTTCCTTTTCTATTCACTCGTTCCACCTCTTCATAATGATGAGAGTACATGGGTATTTATAGGTGCAAAAATAAATCTAAGCCTAGTCTAAATAGATCTCCTAATCCAAGCAATAATATAAATCCTAAGGTAATTAAATCTCCTAACATCTTCTACTAATAGAATCCTAATAATGCTAGAAGTAGATAAAAGCAATAAAGAAATAGAATCCTAATTAACTAGCAAGTCTTGAACTCCAAGTTTGCTTGATGCTCAAGTCCCTCGGTCGCCTCCCATGCGCAGCGCCCGTCGCTTGCCTAGTCCTCAACGCGCAAGGCATCGCGCGCCTCGTCTGCATCACAAGCGCGCGCCTTTGCGCGCGCCCAGTCCGCACCCCCTTCCCCTTGCGCGTGCGCGCCCGCCACTCCTAAGCCCGCGCGGTTTGGGACTCTCGCGCCTGCT